AGTATACAGCTGACTGATCAGCAATGTGGTTATTTAGTGGTTACTTATCTCTGAGCACTGCACCAATCTGTTTCATACATTATGTTTGGAGATACCTTTTCACAGTTGAAAACTCAATCTAAGTATCTCTGGATAACAAGTGATTTTTTTCTCAGTGCCCCAGCACCAGCTTCTACTGGATAAAATACTTTTCTCTTAGTGTAGAAAAACCCACTCATCTCTGCAGTCATGCCCTCAGCCTTAGAAAGACTCTTTGCCCCCCATGGAAATCTGTGGTAAGTACTTGGCAGGGGGGAAATACAGGCTCACTCCCCCATCCTAGTAGTCTCCAGATGCACACTAGTTTGTAAGAGCTCAACTGCGTTGGGAGGGTTGTTCGTTCCTGCCATGTGAACAAAAGAGAATATGCAATGGGGTGAGGAGCTAGGGGATGCTTGCCTCATTATGTCCTTGAGCAATTCTGGGCTTTGATTTCAAAAGAAATACAGAACCTTTATGTCTGCTTTAAATGCAGAGCTCAGAGCTGGGTGTGGTAGTGCATGTCTATAATTTTAGCACCAGGGAGGCTGAGGCAGGAGAATTGCTATGAGCTCCAGGCCAGGCTGAGCTACATGTTAAGGCCCTGTCTCAAACCAAAAAATAAAAAATTCAGAGTTCAGGTCATATATTCTCTTCATTTTTCCCTCTGGAAATCTTTAGGATCATGTAGCAAGTCTTCTGGCATCTGAAGCTACTATTGAGAAATGGCTGGCCTTGTAGCAAGTAATAATTGATCATTGAGAATTATTATGACCCTCTCTTGGGGATCTAAATATAAAATGTCTTTGTAGCTTCTGTAAGAGGAAAAAGATGCAAGAATGCTTCCAACTCTCTCTCTCCCTTTCTCCCTCCCTCTCTTTTTCTCTCTCTTTTTCTTTCTTGCCATGTAGTTGAGGCTGACCTTGAACTCACTATGTGGCCATGGCTGGTCTGGAACTTGCCCTGGATCCTCTGGGCTCAGCCTCCCAAGGGCTGAGATTACAGACATGTGCCACCACACCCACCTAGGAAGAATGTTCTTTATTCACCATCAGTTCCTTGCTCCTGTTACCATAAATCCAGGGGACAGATCTTTATCCAAAGACTTTATTCAGAGACAACATGTAACTGGTCTCCATGCCACCATGTGAGTGTTCCATCCTTTTAGAAAACAGAGGAGCTCTTCTGACACTCATGCATCATCTTTCTCCTCCTTGGGAGAAAATATCTGATGCCCACAGTTTAAATCTCGTGGTTTTAGAGGTTTCAGTCCATTGCTGGCTGGTTGCAAGGGAGACATCATGGCAGAGGAATGCTGCTCACCTTGGGTGGCCAGAGACATCAACCTCAAAGTCATGCCTCCGTGACCACACACCCAGCAGTGTGCTTTACTATTTCCCCAGGGGCTCCCATGCCCTTGAAGCTCAGTTAAGCCTGACTGTCACCCCTAGTCAGCAGCTACCACCTGGCCTCCAGCCACACAGTTAATAAAACTCCCCCTACCCCCACCCCCACCCCGGCCGCCTTCTGCTAAGAGTTTCAGCCCTTGACAGTGTTCTCAGCTTAACTTCTCAGGATCTGCCTGTGTAGTTTCTCAGGTGTCTTTATGTGGGTTCAGCCTGGTACTCTGAAGAGTGTCTAGTGTCTTGAAACTCTGTTCTCCATGCATATCAAGTTGCACAGCTTAACACCTAATACCTCATTGTCCTCTCCACTCCTCAGCACCAAGCTTCCCTAAACTGGGTTAAGGGCACCACCAGCCACCCTTAATTGGCCAAGTTAGAAAACTTGAATTTCACTTTCTCCCCACATTGGTACTTGATAGCACTGGCTCATTCCTCCACTGCCCAGTATGCTATGAGGCTTCACAATGCAAAAATCATTACACAACTCTTGGCCATTTAATCATGGCTCTCAGTTTCTTAGATTTGGGGAGTTGAGTGCTTACCGGTAGTCCTCTTAGCAGCCTTTTGCTCTTCATTCATTCATTCATTTATTTTGGTACCAGGGATTGAACTCGGGACCTTGCACTTGCGAGGCAGGTGGCAGAACCACTGAGCTAAATCCCCGGCCCTCTCTGCATTTATTTTTGTCTCTGAAGTTGGTTGCATTTCATTGGTATACTGTTTGGAGAAAGTTTCGAGGTGGTTGTATTTTGAATTCTTGCCTGTCATGGGATGCCCATTTATTGTCTTTATGCATAAAGGATGATTTGGCTAGGTCATGTGGTCATTTTCTCTGATAAAATCTTGGAGACACCGCCATACTGTGTTGAATGCTCAGTGAAGGGAGCTGAGGCCCACTCCACTCCACAGCACTCTTGATTTTCCTGACTGACACCCATGAGAGTTTGTCCTTACTCTGGAAGTCTAAACATTTATCTGGTGATGATTGTGTATCAGGTTTTCTTGAACCATTTATGCATCAGTTAGGTTCTTTACTTAAGGAATACTACTGATACCCACTCCAAGTTCCTAGGTGAATATTGTCTTCTAGCTGATTTTCAGCTTTTTATTCTTTTGTGTGACATCTTCAAGCAGGTGTTACATTTCCATTGCAGCTGTCATGTAGATCCCATCCCACTTCCTTTTTTGATATTTCTCAGCATGGCATGGGGCCTGCACTGTCCTCTACTCAGAGGGCTCCTCTGTCCCTCTCCCAGCCACTCACGAGGCCTTTGTACCTTGTGAATTTTAGAAGGCCGCTCTGTTACAGGCCATCTCTGTTGGTATTTGGAGATTGTTGCACAGCCTCCTTCACACCTCGCACACAGCATTATTGAAAATAAAATACTGTATTATCTTGTTCCTCCTCCCTCATCCACATTGCACATTGATTGTTCTGTGGTAGGAATCATGTAGAAGCCTATTCCCAACTGATGAAAGTTGGATTTTTCAGGACTGCAGTGTTTACTTTTTAGAGAATTATTTCTTAGAGTGTGGATGTAAAGGAGACTTTCATACTGTTTCTTCTTCCAGTCAGAAGTTTATTTTACTGGGCAGTCAACATTACATATAGCTTGAGAATGTTTTATTTAATGGTGGCATTTTCTTTTCAAATTCTCTTTGTTTCCAGTTGGTTTTAAGAAAGGAACAAAAAATCTTGACTGCTTTAGTTTTTTTTTTTGTTACCAGGGATCGAACTCGGGTCCTTGCACTTGCGCAGCAGGCGACAAAAACACTGAGCTAAATCCCTGGCCCATGCTTTACTAGTTTTAATTACAAGGTTCCCTGCCAATACTTTATTGTCATCCAATTTAATAATTATTCTGGCGACAGTCACTGAAATGCTCTGAACAATGACAGGATCATTGCTTTGCACACATAGTTTCTGTTTTCAGTAATGTACGGGTTTGTTTCTTGTCTTATTTTATGCTTCCTTTTTGTACTCTGAGTAGATACTAATATACTTCAGGCTCTGAGATACTTTGTATTCTTATTTGTAAATAAGTATTATGTTATTAAATTATATTTTATTCCAAATAATTAGCCTATCAGACATAACTTTTTCAGTTTTTTCTCATCCATAGTTTATACATACACACACACACACACACGTACGCACGCATGCACGCACGCTTTTTGGAGACAGGATCTCACTATGTAGTCCAGGCTGGCCTTGAACTCACAGTGATCCTCCTATCTCAGCCTCCCAAGTGCTGGGGTTACAGGAATGCATCACCTCCCCTCCCACCTTTTAAGGAATCAAAGAAAAGCAGACGTTCTAATCTTCTTAGTTTTCCAGTCGCCCAGGGCAGATGTAGGAGTAGCTCTTGATGGACATAATGCTGTCCAGGGAAAAGCTGGAGGGAATGTGGGTCACGGCAGAGGGATAAGAGCAATGGTTAAATTTTGAAAGGAAGTTGGGAAAAGTTAATTTCTGTGTGAAATTACCAGGTTTAGTGGTTGTCTCTCAAGTTTTTGGAAAACAAAGTCATAGCCAATTTACTCCCTAGAAAATCATTGCCCATCTACCTATCATTTGTTTAACTAAGATGCATTCTGCCTAAATAAGATTAATACATATACTTTTTAGATGATTCAGTAACATGGGAAAAGCTTTAAAATGTCTGGATAACTGCAAGCTATATAGTGTAATAATATTAAGCCAAACGATTCATGAATAATGTTTGGAGCATATTTTATTTTGTTTCATTTGAGGAAGGGTCTCACTATGTAGCCCAGGCTGGCCTCAAAATCATGCAGATCTTGCTGTCTCAGCCTCCTGAATGTGGGGATTATAGGCATGCACCACCATGCCCAGAGAAGCATATTTTCTCTACCTGCTGGTTATTTTGGTGGAAATGCGTATAATGTCTAAGTTTTTAACCAGGTGGTTTCTATTTTTATTTTTATTTTTTTTAATTTTTCCAGTACTGAGGATAGAATGCCAGGATCTTTTCACTGAGCTACATCCCCAGTCCTTTTTTATTTTATTTATTATTTTTGAAGCAAGGTTTCACTAATCACTGTGTTGCCCAGGCGGGGCTGGAACTTAGGATCCTCCTGTCTCAACCTCCCAGAATACTGGGATTACAGGCGTGTTCCACCCACACCTGGCTAAATTTTATTTTTAAAGTCAATTGTATTTGAGTTAGTAGAATAGGGCAGTTTAGAAATACTTTATTCTAACTCAAGATAAAAGCAGTTTATAGTTCAGGATTAATTTTAGTTCATCATAAAACTGATTTTTGTTAAAGCATCACATTTCCAGCCAGGTGTCATAGTACACACCTGTAATCCCAGCACTTTTGAGAGGCTGAGGTAGGAGGATTATCGAGAGTTTGGAGCCAGCCTGGGCCACATATCAAGACCTCATCTCAGAAAACAAAAGTAAAAACAACACAGTGTTTCATGTCATAAAGCATTGCGTTCAGTAAAACATTCAGTAAAACATTCTCCGGAATCATCCATGCTGCATTGTAAGAAAATTCTCACCCTTGCTGACATAACATAATGAAATTGTTGTTAATTATTTACCAGAAAAGAGAACGATTACACGATGAAGAGGAAAAAAAAAGTGCCTGGGTTAGTCAAGAGAGGCAGAGGACCCTGGATAGACTTCGAACATTTAAACAGGTAAAAGCATATGGCTGTTTGCTTCTCATTGCCTTTTTTATTTATTATTTTATTTTTGGTTCTATTTTTGTTTTTACTTTTTGTTTTGTTTTGTTTTGTTTTGTTTTTTGACATAGGCTCTTGCTATGCACCCCACTTGCCTTGAAAGTGCTGTGTAGTCCACACTAGCCACAAAACTCACAATCCTCCTGCCTCAGCCTCCCAGGTGCTGGTATTTCAAACATGTGCCACCATGCCTAGCTTTCATCACTTTTTTTTTTTTTTTTTTTTTGGTACCAGGGATTGAACTCAGGACCTTGCGCTTGCGAGGCAGGCAGCGGAACCACTGAGCTAAATCCCCGGCCGCTTTTCATCGCTTTTAAATAGATCTTCACATATATTTCTATTTGGAATATGTTATAACCATGACATCCCTTTTAAAAACTTTTCCTCACAGCTTTACTTTTTTTTTTAATTAAATAAATTTTTATTTAAGGAATGTCACATGTGATTCCTTCAGTAGACAGCTTTACTTTTTATTAGTACATATTTGCAGTACGTAATGATTACATTCCTCATGGGGAATTGGTGCATGTACAGAACACATCTCAATTCTTTATTCATCTTTCCCTCCTCTGTCCCTCCATCTCACGATCCCTTTCCTCTTTGAAAAAGATCTGTTTCCCTACTTTGTATTATTTATCTTTTATTTTTCTCTTTATTTATCTTTTGGGTTGCTTATATAAGAGAAACCATGTGATATTTAAGCTTGTATGTCTGATTTATTTCAAATAACATTATGGTCTCAAGGTGCATCCATTTTCCTACAAATGACTCAAGTGTATCCTTCTTTATGGCAGAGTAGTACTCCATTGTGTATAAACACCACATTTTACCTATTCATCTGTTGATGGACATATAGACCACTTTCAACATTTAGCTATTACGAGCTGTGTTATTATAAACATGCATGTATCACTGTAACCTGATGCCTTTAACTCTTTTGGGAAAATACCTAGAAGGAGAATAGCTGGTTAAATGGAATTTCTAGTTCTAGTCTTTTGAGGAATCTCCAATCCTGATTTCCTTAGTGGTTGTACTAGATTACACTCCCACCAACACTCTTGTGTCCCTTAGCACACAACTTCAGTAGTACAAGACGAACGATCGGGGCTGGTGGGAGGCCTGGACTGTTGCTGTGTTTCATGAAAATAGTTTACCCCAGCTTTCCAGCTCAAGCATCACCTTGCTATCAGTCCCACAAACATCACCTCTGAGGTCATAGCAAAGGTGACTACAGCAGGACCAGAGAGTGCTGGAACCATGTCCTCTCCCAGCAGACCTCTAGCTGTGGGTACCAACACCGCAGCCTCTGGACATCTCAGAACCATGCTTGAGCCTCTCTTCAGTTTTCTCTGGGCCAAGAGGTCCCCTCGTCGCAGGGCAGTGTGAGATTTTGAGCAAGCCCAAGTGTTGCTGTGAGAAGAGGGCTGGGAGGCATCGTTAACAAAGGTGGCTGTGTTCAGGAAGTGCCATCCAGCACTTGCAGCAGGCAGCGGCTTCCCACAGTGAGAGCTGGACAGCAATGCTGCTGCCTGTCAGCACTCCCTACATTGCATTCCCTTGTCTTCACTGTCACAACATGCTTATCAGAGTGCTGCTTAAAATGCCAAGTCACCTTTTATAAAAAACCAGTTTTTATTTTTTTAATCTGTAAGCATTTGAAAATAACAGTAGTAGATGTTCTAATATGTTGTATATTTTATCTAAATTTTTTTTCCATTTAAGTTTGTAGTTCCTTAAATTTTTATTAAGATTATCTAATTTTGGACAGTTGACTGCTTAGGTAGATAAGAGGGAACAAAGCCTCACCATACCTAATAAATAACAAAGGGGTTATGATAATTGCTTGAGAAGTATTAGGCATTGGTATTCTAGTTTCGTTATTTTCCTGAAAAATTAAGTCAGATCCAAAATAATCTTTTGAGTTGATAGAGGAAATAAGAATTTGTTTATACATCATGGTTTTAGTGTAACACAACCATTTGTAATCACTTTTTCTATTTTAGAAGTATCCCGGGCAAGTCATACTTAAGTCAACTAGATTACGACTGGCCCATGCAAGGAGAAGAAACACAGGAAGCCCAGTGCCGCAGGAGGACCATTGTGACTCTGCGCCAGAGCCGCTGCAGGTGGAGCCCACCGTGCAGGCTGGAGGCTGTGGCCAACTTAATCCCTCACCGACAGCATCCCAGGGCCTCCGGAGCCGTGCACAACTTGAAGACTCTTCACTAGCACAACTTGAAGCCGTGTCCTTACCTCTCAGTGGGGTCACCTCTGAACCACCTCCTGCTGCATCTCTTCAGATTTTAAATAATAATGACCTCAAACCACGTTCTATCACTGTAAATCCACCTCCATCACCAGTTCCTCCCACGCCCCCTCCACCACCGCCCCCTCCGCCACCCCCTCCCCCCCTGCCTGTTGCAAAGGACAGTGCTATTGACCCAGAGACCCTGGAGATAGGGCCGCCCAGGAAGGACGGGGAGAAGAGGATCCCGAAGTCAGCCAGCGCCCCTTCAGCACACCTTTTTGACAGCAGTCAGCTGCTCAGTGCCCGGAGGAAGCTCAGGAAGACAGCAGAAGGTTTGCAGAGGAGGAGAGGTAAGTTACAAAGGTGTTCGAGGTACCACGATGAAGAGATCTTACATTTCATCCAGGACATAATACTCAAGACAGTAATTGATAGCAAACAGGTTTTCAAGGTCACAGCAGAGGAGAATTCTTAACAGCCCACAGCAGCAAATATGTACATACAGAGGTGCATACCATCATGAGTTGTTAACATATTGAAGTCTTCTGACGTAATGACATTTGACCAATTTGGCAATGTAAAATTGTTCTCTGGAGAAAATCTTTTGTTCTGTGGAGAAAATCTGATTTTAAACCTAGTGAATAAACTACTTACGGGCTTGGGGTTTGGCTTAGCAGTGAAGCAGTTGGCTTGGCATGTGTGAGGTACATTCAGTCCCCAGAACAAGGAGAAAGGGGCACAGCAAGGAGGGGGAAAATACACAAGGAAGTGTCAGAGGAGCCAGGCAGGGTGGTGCACACCTGTAATCCTCATTTTCTGGGAGGCCAAGACAGGATAGCAACAAGTTTGAACCCAACCCAGTTTGAGTAACATAGTGAGACCCTGTTCCAAAATAGAAAATGTAAAAAGGGCTGGGGTTGCACCTCAGTGTGAAGGCCCTGTGTTCAATCCCTAGTACCGTGCATGGGGGGTGGGAATGGTAGACATTAGCAAGATCAGGTAACATTTGGTCACGTTTTTGGTATTAAGTACTTTATTATATTCTTTGTATAAAAAGGCAAAGAATGGAGAGTATATGTGCAATTTATTGCATATCAAATATACTTCAGTAAAGTTATTTCCAAAAATAACAGGGAAGGATCTCCTCACCTTTAAGAAGCTATCGGTTTAACCAGGACAAATTTATATAAAGCAGTTTGCATATTATGTTTTCATTGGAGAGAACATTCTATAAAATGTTTCTTACTAGGAATTTTACTAGTAAAATTTCAAAGCACAATCACCACAGTGAGTGAATGTTTAGTTTTTCTAGATGAAATGTCTAACCTAGTCACTGCACATGGAAGGTCTCCCACATCATGTTAAGACCACCTCCCAGCTCACAGTCTGCTTCTTGCTCTCCTCCGGGAAAATGGCAGGAGGACCAGCAGTGCCTGTCCTCTGATTCGCCAGGAGTTTTGAAACAAGGATAGAACAGGATCCCTTCTGCTCTGACACCCTTATGCCCACATTTCCTGGTTTGTTTTGTGGCTGGTGTTTCCACATCCAGGGTTATTGTAGTCCAGAATGCCAGTGGTCACAGAGTTTGACTTTAAGCATGTTCCTAACTGTAATTGCTCTGTTTCATTTTCCAAAAGTGAGCTCACCCATGGATGAGGTGCTAGCATCCTTGAAGCGTGGTAGTTTTCACCTGAAAAAGGTTGAACAACGAACTCTGCCTCCTTTTCCTGATGAAGATGATAGTAATAATATCTTGGCACAAATAAGGAAAGGGGTCAAATTGAAGAAGGTACAGAAGGAAGTTTTGAGAGAGTCTTTCACACTGCTGCCTGACATAGACCCGCTAACACGGAGCATCCATGAAGCTCTGAGAAGAATTAAAGAAGCATCCCCTGAGTCGGAAGATGAGGAGGAGGCCTTGGCCTGCACAGACTGGGAGAACTGACAAGTAAATGGTACACTCTCTTTGGTAGCATTCAGTAGTAGCTTTTATATTGATTGATGGAATCTTGGTATTTCTTCTTGACTCTGAGGCCCATTGGGTATTAAACAGCCTAACTATAGCATGAATTGTAGATTTGTAAATTTCAGATGTTAATTCTGTAGTTTACTGGAACTAATATAACACAAAAGCACTTTTTAAAGACTTTATATATGAATGATATTTTTTATATTTTGCTCATTAAGAATTTCTACAGTAGAGCTATATTCCAAGTAAAGAACAGTCTCACTCTTGCCTTAAACAAAAAAGGCCTTTTCTAACTGAAATCCTTCACTTACGCAATTTGAGTTTCGATGTCAGCTGCCTGCAAAGGAGTTTTCTAAAAATCAGTTTAGTAAAATTATTCCATTTTCTGATTATGTAGCTTTCTAAACCTTTAAAACTAGTGCATCATAGTTATGCATTGTCTACATACATTTGAGGCTGTTGTTCATAAATGTAGAAGACTTGCACACATGATCTTGAAGCCCTGTGGATGCTAATACTATCTTTGCTTGCATGCCTGGCATTCCTTTTAATAAGCTAGTTACACTATGTAAAGTGGCACAGATTATCAAGTCATTAGAGATACAAAAAGCTATAAATGAAATAGTATGTAGGATTGGTAATGATCACAGTTAAAATGCAGTGCTTTGTGCAAACATGTTCTCATTCTCCACAGCATTGGTCAAAAGGCATAGACCATAGTTCTGGAGGGAAGTAAAGCTAACTTACTGGTTCACACTGTGATTCTTAACAGTATTTACTCTTAAGAACTAAGCTGGAACTTGTTAAAAGTAAGGATTTCTGGCCTTGAGAGTCTAAGAAGATATGATAGGTATGCAGGTACACAACTGGATCTTGAAGACTTGAAACAAGACATGTAAACTGTGTCAGTTTTTAAGTACTAATTACATTCTGAACAATATTTGGTTATATCACGTGTTTATTTTGGGTGTGGGTCCATCAGGAAACTGTCCCTCTAGTACCTCTACACTTGCCCCATCCCATCAGCATCCACACCACTTTTTTTGTGGGGGGGGGGGCGGCGACAAGAGTCTCGCTGTTTAGTTCAGGCTGGCCTCGAACTCATGGTGATCCTCCTGCCTCAGCTTCCTGAGTGCTAGGATTATAGGCATGAGCCACCATACCCACTTGCACCACTTTTAACACGGTAAAAATCACATTCTTCTTGATGTGTGTTACCATTACAATGATTCAGCCAGTGTTCAGTGATATTTCTGTCCCGCTTTCTTCTTGTTACGTATAGAAGCCCTAATTATAACCACTTATATGGCTTTTCTGTTTTTGGATCCCAAAATAATATGAAACTCTTTGCTTGTCCATATGACAGCATGCTTGGTAGAGGAGGTCGCACCTGTATGTATATGTGTCTGTTCTGTATGTAGATCGTTTCCCTCTTTACATTTCTTGCTATCTGTTGTGATATCTCTTGCTTGTAGCTTTTCAGGTTGTTACTTAAGCCTGTGCCTAAAGCTACTACTTTGCTACTGATTGGTTAATTCCACAGCTGGGCCTTCACATATACATGCACAGTATTCAGTTCTTTCATTGCCGCTGACCCACTGTGGCCTACACCTGGCACACCAGCCACTCAGACTGGCACAGCCATGCCTATCTTCTCCCACCAGATCCTGCCAGACACACAGACATTGCAAAGCAATGACATTCTGTTACTCACCTGGCAAAAACATATGGTTGCTGGCTTCATAGTTAGCATTAATCTCAAATATTAAGCACAGTGTGCATAGGGTGTATCATTTTGAAAGCCACTTAAAATTTTGTTGGAAGGTGTGGGGGGGATGTTATTAATGGCTGACATGTGTTGCAGTAGTGTATAAGATCAGGTGCCTGCAGATTCACTTTTTTTTCTTTCTTTTTGGTACCGGGGATCGAACTCAGGACCTTGCACTTGCCAGGCAGCTGCTGTGTTGCTGAGCTAAATCCCCGGCCCTGCGATTTCATTTTTTTGTGTGTGCTGGGGATCAAACTCGGCACCTTGCGCTTCCTGCAAATTCACTTCTAAAGACCAAGTGAACCACAGACTACTGTAGTTGTACCCAGCTAACTTAAGAGTGGTGGATCATTGCTTTGTGAGAATAATTGTCACACAGGCTCTTGACTTTTAGCAGTATTTTTTTTTCTATTCTTGAAGAGTTTAAACTTTTATGTGCTTTTCTTTTTGTTTTTTTTGTTTTTTTTTAACTTTTATGTGCTTTTAAGAAATTCAGTTTGTCAACTCCTGAAGTGATGAGTGAGGGTCCAGGCTGGGGGACTCCTGATGGAAGCTTTCCAGCACTGCAGAAAAGCAGAACAGGGAGCAGGGCCTCTGCCTCTCCCTTCCCAGAGATGGGCACAGTTAACAGTGTTCTGCTGGGGGATTTGTAAACATGAGGAGATGCATTTAGTTATAGAGACTTTAAAATCTTTCCACTTTGATTCCTGTGGGGATTTTCTTAAATTGTTAAGTAAACTAACAATGCTGTGCTTTAGAAATACAGTGTGAGTCACATATGCCATTTAGAATCTAATAATCACACTAAAGAAGCAAAAAAGGAACATGTGAAATTGATTTTGTTAATACTTTACTTGACATAGTGAAGCCAAAATAGTACCTTTTAACGTGTAACCAGCATAAAAACTTGTGTGCTGTTGTGTTTCTTCGTTACTCTCTAGTTCACATGTCTGTCTGTGAGTGGAGCCTGGGGCCTCACACACTCAGCAGTTGCTCTAACACTGAGCGACATCCCACCCCACCCAGCTTTGGGAGGAGTTAAGTCTTCAAAACCCAGGTCTTCTTCTAAGTGCAATCCTTTACATTTACTAGTAACACTTTTCAACTTGGATGTATTTCATGGTTAAAGTGAAATGTGCTATCAGAACAAGAATTTATTCGTTGGAAAGATATTTTATGTAGTTTTACATACTAAATTTAAATCAAATTTAAAATGTAATCTCTCATTACACCACATTTCAAGTGCTCAATAGCCATATGTAGCTAGTCTGTTTAAGTGTATGTCAGTTTCCGTCTGATGGGTAGGCCTTTTACATGTGTGTTCCTGTGCATGGGTAAGCTCACATATCCTAACACAGTAAAAAATCCTGACTTTTGATTTTTTTTAATTGATTGATATGATTGAGACACGGTCTTGCTCTGTATTTCAGGCTGGCCTTGAACTTAGAGCAACCCTCTACCTCAGCCTCCCAAGTGCTGGGATTATAGGCCCATGCCACTGGGTTTGGCTTAAAGTATTGATTTAAAGACCACTTTTTATCCTGTCCCCCAAAATGATATTAAAACAAAAACCGGCCAGGTGTGGTAGCACACACCTGTGATTCCAGCACTCGAGAGGCTGAGGCAGAAGGAGCACTGCACTATCAAGGCCAGCCTGGGCTACATAGTGAGTTCAAGCCCAGCCTGAACTGCATAGCAAGACCCTGTCTCAAACAAATTCTCTGTATTTAATTTTTAAAATATCATTTAATAGTTCTTACCTTGGTGACAGTTTATGAAATGCATATTTTTATTCCTCAATAAGTTTTGACATAATGTTAGGAAAAAGGAATGAAAATGAAAGTGACAAATTTTTTAAATGATCAAAATATGTATTAAAGGTTTTTTCCATTTTTTATTGCTTGAAGAATACAAACATGTCTTTTTTAAAAGGGCCTCCTGTATAACATACTGTATAAATGGGCATTTAAAGAAAGATCCCAGCATTTGCCCTGGATCTTGCAAAGGGTAGGGAGGGTACATATACAGACCCACTGTCTTTAAAAAAAGGTGTCTTTTTTTTTTTTAATATAGTGTATTATTTTGTTTCACACAGGTGACTAGAGAGAAGAAAATTATTTACAGATGAAGATTGGTTCTGATTCTTTTGGATAACAGTAGTTTAAGCAATTTGTCCCACAGTTGGATTCCACTAGATCCCAAGTTTGTTGGCTCAAGTGGTGTGAAAACAAAAACGAAGCACAACTGGCAGTTCCTTTTCAGTCATTCCAACGGAGAGTGTCTGGCGTGAGTTTCAGATGTGCAGAGTTCCTGACCGCAGTGAAGAACAGGCCTTCTCTTCCCACCTACCCAGTAGATCCTTGTGATGGCCATTTAAGCTCAGGGTCATGATGAACCAGAAGAGCACTGGGTTGACTGAGTCTGCTGTGAGCTGTTTGGGGACCATTTTGCGATCATCTTTGAGTACACTGAAAAGATCTGCTGTGAAAATACAGAGCTTCTTCCATGTTAGCTATAGAAATAGTGCTGGAAAAGAGTTGTTGGGGATGCTAGAGGTCAGATGGAAATGCACTCAGAACTTACACATTACTCTTCTCCAAAAGGATTTTCATAATGATGCTCACCATCTGGAAGCCAATGGAATACACCTATTAATGTGTGTACCACGACATTCAACAAGGCATATTTTTAGAAGGCCACACAGTCTTACTTATACTTTGTAAGGGTTTGAAATTTAAATTTCCATGCTTTTAAATAGCTTTTCATAATTCTGAATTTATAATAGTTTGAATTTTATGTGTGTCCTTGTTTATGAGAAGCAATACTTCATGATTTGATAACATTTGAAATTATTTTTAGTCTTTTTGTTTGAACTATTGCTTTATGACTGTAACTCATGACTTTCCTATTAAGAATCAAAAATCGGGATTCAGTAATAGGGATACAGATCTTATCATGCACCACTTTGAAGTTTTTATTTTGCTCCACAGTGAAAAGTATGTGCTCCACAAAGATGCAGAAAAGCTTCTTTGGCTGCATTTCACTTTCTCTGAATGTCTGAATGGAACTTTGGAGAGACCTCTTATTGATGTCACAGAATTTTAAATATACACACATAGCTCTAGGTTTGCTGTAAGGAATTCTGAAGGGTACATCTGTGAATGGAGTCATCATGGATTGTCAGCAGGATTGCCATGGGCTTGCACAAAGGTAGATAAGATATGTTATATGTAATTTACGGCATTTTTATAAAGTGTAATTCTGCACTAGATAGGCCTTGGCCTTTATATGGGGGAGTTAGGATTCAAGTGTTAAGAAGAATTTTATTATCTTAGAAGGCAAAACTGGCCTGACCCCAGAAAGCAGAACTAAAGTCAAAGTTCCTCAGTGTATGTGAGTTGTGTTTCCTGGAGAAATGCTCACATTCTTGTCATTTTTGAAATTTTCTTTAAAATAGTTGAGGAGAAGTATTCTGACAACAGGTTATATAAGACAGTCTTTCTGCTTAAATGTCAGTCATGTAGGTGCTTCCTGCATAGCATCCTATGATACATTAATTTTAGTCCCAGCACAATTCATACATTTCTTCTGGGAAGATTAGAAATATAAATCTTCTGTTGTTGTTTGAGACAGGGCCTCACTGTGTAGTTCTGGCTGGCCTTGAACTCACTATGTAGTCCAGGCTGGCCTCAAACTTGTGATCTTTTATCTCAGACTCCCCAGTGCTGGGATTACAGGTGTGCACCTGACTAGAAATACAAATCTAGTACACAAACTTTTTCCCAAGATGGGAGGGTAAGTGGGTATCCTTTATAACTTCAGTAAGGCATTAAAGCGTGGTTTTTAACCAAAAGAACCATGTTAGAATGTTAATATATTTGGAAAATTTTAAAGTAAATGTAGAAACCTTTAGTAAAAATCATGTATCAATTTTATGCATTTGGTTTTGGATAAAACATATCCAGTTTTTTGGATGCTTGTTCATAACCCAAGTTTTATTCATTTATTTCAACTTTAGAAGAAAATACAGAATTAACAAAAAACCCTGGAACCTTCATAGGTTGAGAGGAATCGCTATTTATTGTTATCCTGGGATTTCATATAAAACAGGCTCACTTAGAAAAGATCCTGTGATGAGTCTTCCCACCCTAGCAGACTCAGAGGGGTGTAGGACACTGTCAGCCTTCAGAGGGTGGCGAGAGGGCTCCTTCCTCACTGCAGTGCAGGCCTTAGCTGCACCAGAGGGGGAAGACCTTCTCCAGCACGCCCACCTTCCTGCCTCATGATTCAGCTTTCTGGGCTGGAGTGCAGTGTCCTAGTCCCTAAGTGCAAAGTCCTGGGCTCAGTCCCCAGCACTTGGTGTGTGTGGGAGGGGGATCCAAGTTCCCCGTTCCACAAAATTACAAATTATGGTAGGACAGGCCTTTAGGGTTATTCACGAGTTACCATTAAAATTTTTAATGACTAAGGCCCACTTGTCTGTTAAGATGAGATTACTTATATTGATTTTTAAACCTTATATTAATACCACACAAAACCTGTGTGAGAGTGTTTAGACTTCTTTTTTCCCCCATGCCCCTGTGAGGATCTTTGGCTTTAATGTTAAATTTGTATATTTTTGGTTTCATGGTACTTTCAAATGAGCAGGTTTCCTTCCGTTTCCAAACTTGCCTGTACTTTTTGTATGGTTCAGAATATTTGACCGTTATATTTATGTTAAGGTATCATTTGTATATCCACAAACAGCTGCTTGCTTTTGCTGAGTCAACTTAGAAATTAATTTACCCTGGTCTTGATTGCATTATATATAAAGTGGGAAAACAAGTAAGATCATGACTTGAGGGTGTTTTGAGGTTAGTGTTACTGCTCACTTGAATGTCCATTTAAAATAGTCCCCTATTATTGCAACTGAATGTGTGTCTGTATAAGCAACAGCATGGGTAGGAAAAGGCCCCACTGGTTTATACCCCAAGTTGTCTGTCATACAGTAGAGTGAGGAAATGCTTGGCTGGTGAGGATTTTCAAGGATGAACAGTTGTTTCTCTGAAGTATAGTTACAGGCTTATTGAGTTTCTGAGCAGCATGAAAACAATTCTTTGGTTCTTCACTGTGGAACTGAAACATTCTCTAAAATGCAGTTTTATGGGTTCCGGTAGATGGCAGCTGTGGGCGAAGTGAAATGCAGAGCCTTCCCCATTACAAGAGTACTGTCATTTCCTCTCTGTTTGGGTTGGGCAGATCCTTGTTTCTATGAAGTTAAACTAGGATTTGGTGCCACATAGCACAGCCACATTATATCATAAAAATGTGTTAAATGGGAAAGCATACTTCAGCCTTTGTAGACACAAGCATTAAAATCTTAAATCTGAGAAAACAAACAAATGGGCAGCATCCTTTCTATATGAAATGGGATCAGTGTGCAATTAATACACTTAATTTTATACATTCCCTGTGACCAGTTTCAAATTACATTTACTGAGTGTTTATATTAATTTAAATCAAATGCTTTTAGCCTAAAGAAAGTCTTTTTATATAAACACTTGGGTTTTCAGCTTTGTTATCTAAGTATTATGCACTTAACACCAGATACCAACCTGTAAAGTAGTACTATTGGGTCCTTTACCAGACCTGTCAGGGAGTTGAAATTTCTTACACTCTATCAGGTTATTTGTTAAAAAAAAAAGAAAAAAATCAAAAACCAAACAACTGTAAAACATTTCAGAATACGGCAGACACCTTGTTAAAATGCAGCCATTTGATAATGAAAGCAGAGACCTTTAGTTTTACCTAATTGTTGCACTGAATATAAATAATATAAAGTGAATTGTAAACAGATTTTTATTTCCCATTTATTGCTTAGCATAGAAAAAAAGCTATGCTTAGTGTTAGAGGATTGAGCAAGCAGACTCACTGCAGATGAGGGTGAGAGGCAGAAGCACCTTAGCGTGAGCACTGTGCTTACACAGGCTGCTGAGCAGCAAGGGAGGCACTTTGATCCTGTCAGAGAACGTTAAGAGGAACTGCCTCATTGCTTTGTAAAATGAAGCAGTGGTATTTTTAATCCTATAAACATGGTGTAACTTTAAAAGTTTTTCCTGCAAGATGAGTTTATATTGTTGCCTAAACTATCATGTTTATAAGCAGAGTTTTTTAAAGGTGGAAGAGAGGAAAGTATGTGTGTGTACACATTACATGTTTGCCCATATAATTATTTCAAGAATGCGTTTATTCTAAAATTTGCTGTTTTGCCCAGAATTACATTTGCATTTGTAGGATGTAATTCCAAATGTATAGCTGTTTCCCCACTTCTGTCTTCTGTGAACAATTACTATGCCACTGTAAGGTGCATGTATGGAAAATATCTCTAAGATTGACAGTTAAAAGAGTTAATGGATGTTAGATCACAGTGAATCTCAAAGAAGTCATGTTTTGAGAGTTAGGGGAAGTTTGTTTTTGGTTTTTTAAAATTCATTTACAACAAACAGTGACTCAGTTGGAGAGGTTAGGGTGAATAGGAAAGATGAAAAGTGATGTTTAGATGTAAAAACGTATGGCATTGGGTTACAGAGTTCAGTTTTAACAGGGTCATTTTTTTTTTAAACTTGCATGTTCTATGGTTAACTATCAAAGAATGTAACTAATTATTCCAGCTTTCCCCAGCACTCATTATTTTTAAGAAGTCTCCATAATCACAAGGTGGCATTTTCAAGATGGGTTTCTGTGGCTATGTCAAAACCCCACTGGCTCATGGGATTTCTCACTGTGCTGTGTGTCTTGCCAAGCGTGAAGCCAGATGTAGTTCAATAAAAGTCAAAGGCCACAGGTCATTTTGCGTGAATAAAGTCCCTTAGAGCTAACAAAACTGACATGTTTCTAGCCATTCTGGGTACACGAAAATTATGCTGGCAAACTGATTCACCATTTACTAGCTTTGTGCAATATTGTAAAGGTAGAAGCAGAAACACTAGCACATTGTGCTTGGCTTTACCGGTGGCTTTATCACCATGACATTAAATGGTCAGTGCGCGTAGTGGATTGTAAATGCATCTTCTGCAGATTTACAAGAAATACGCTCAGTTAACATTCTAAAGTATTAAAAGTACAAAGAAAACACTAAGCAAGCATTTATAGCAATACTAGGACATCTACAGTAATTGTTTTGACTGTAGCCTTTTGCTCATTAGCACAAATTTTCTGCATTGTATCATTGTATTGCTTTGTATTTCATGTTTTTTACACTCATGACTTCAGAGTTAAGTACTTGTACACCAAGTATTGCAATCACCTTTCTCTTATTGTACATGCAATGTAATAACATACAGTTTTGGTGCTTAACAATATTCCTTTTTTTCTTTAATAAAGGATATTTATTTGAATTAACCTAGTTGTGCTTATTTAAAATATTATTATTGGTAGATATTCTCATCTAAGTAGGAGGCACATAGCAGCTCTTGCTCTTTTGTAACACAATGAGGGATAGGACCCAGGGACTGTCACACCTGTACTTTGCCTCTTCCTGAGCACTGTTTTGTTTTTTTGTTTTCATTTTGGTACTGGGGATCAAACTTGGGACCTTGCACTTGGCGAGGCAGACGGCAGGACCACTGAGCTAAATCCCTGGCCCTGAGCACTGTTTTTTAATAAGTATTTTAATGGCAGCTTTATTTATGTTAGTAATGTCCTCTTTCATTGCTGTTTGTGTAAATATCCACAAAGTTTGGAAATGCTGATTTCCAAAATTGGCAAGATTTTCAAATACAGTAAAACTGGTTTGTGAGCAAATTCATTCTGGAAACATGCTTGTAATACAAAACACTTGTATATCAAAGCAAATCGCAGATGATTTGTTCCACAATCCAGAAATATATAAAAATGATTGTAATACTGTAAAACAAAATAATGAAGAAAATACAAAGTATAAAGAAAAAAACTACCCTGGATTTACATTGAAAACCTTTGTGGCTGGTGTGAGGGAGACAAGAGAGGGAGGAGGGTTATTGTGTAGGATAACTATGTTTAACTATCAAAGAACGTAGCTAGTTATTCCAGCTTTCCCCAGCACTCATTTTTAAGAAGATCTCCATAATCACAAGGTGGCATTTTCAAGATGGATAGACTGTGCAACCCAGTGACCTCTGGTTTCTGCGGCTTTGTCAAAACACCACTGGCTCATGGAATTTCTGAGTCACTAATGGAAGTTACTGCTATCTGTTGGCTCAGTGGAATCTTTTTCTTTTTATGAAACTTTTAACAAGGAAGCTATCCAATGACACTTGTTTTATCTCCTGAGGATTTAGCAGAAATATGACATTACATTGTCATTAAATAGATTCATCATTTAAACCGCTGCAGCCTTATTCAGGTGGTGCTTTTATACAAAATTTTGCACTATTTCCCACATTTTACCCATCTTCCTAATCTCACTTGAAGGATTCCTCTGCCATTTTCTCCACCTCTTCTGCAGATGAGATCTCCATAATCTCTTGCTGTTGGGAGATGATCACCCACAATCCTGCAGTGAGAAAGAAAGACCATTGGCTCAGTTGTGGTCATGTGACATTCATGTCACATACTACTTGTATTGCAAGACATCACTCATTTATCTTTTTTGGGGGGGTGGGTACTGGGAGTCAAACGCAGGACCTTGTGCTTGCCAGGCAGGCACAGTGCCACTGAGCTAAGTCCTGGCCCCATCACTCATTTATCAAGTTAAAATTTATTAGGAATGTGTGCTCATCTTGCAGAATGGGTTACTTTGCAATCCAAGGTTTTACTCTGCAGTACTTTCAGTAGTCAATTTGTGATTAAATTGGGGGAGACTGTGAGGTTCACACACACAAAACTGCTGACTGGAGCTCAGCAAACGGGCCGTATCTGTCAACGAAACTAAGAACTCGGAAGCTTCTAGAAGTTTCATGTAACTGATTCCACCCAGTGAAACAGAAGCAGCAGTAATACGAGCTTCTGGCTGAGGCAGGTAAGCCTATGGAAATTGCTCCTGTCTCTGCTGCTTTTTGAGACAGGGTCTTGCTAAATTACCTGGGCTGGGCTTGAGGTTGCCACTGTCCTGCCTCAGTCTCCCAGAGTTCTGGGATTACAGATGCGCAGTGCTATGCCTGGCTTCAGCCTTTCTCTTGTAGCAAACAAATCTCATCACTACATGGTAGAAGTTGTAGAGAAGACAGGCTTCCCTCATCACTGTTTCACTATTGTATCAGAGCTGCTACCATTGCAGTTAGGCAAGAAAGTGGTAAAGGTATTAGGATTGGAAAGAAGGGAAGACAGCTGACTTTCAGATAAGCTTATGTATGTGGAAAATCCAAGAGTACATAAATTGCTAGAATCAAATTTCAGTAAACTTGATAAAAACATAACAGATTAACTGGTTTCTATATATTAATAAGTTAAAAATTAAACTTTATAATTCTGAGAAGTCAATGGAGAAATGACGATGTGTGAGACCTGAACAGGCAATTAGAAGAAACTGGCATGGGGGCCAGGGACTTAGCTCATTGATTCCGCTGCCTGCCTTACAAGTGCAAGGACCTGAGTTCGATCCCCGGTACCAGAAAAAAACTGGCATGGCCAGTGTACATGGGAAAATCCCATCTCAGTAACAAGGAGAGCATAATCAAAAGATAAACCCCCACAAATGCATGACAACTTCAGATAGGCAAAGATTGGGAAAACAGTGTCAAACACCATCATTGGTAATGTCAACTGGCACGACGTGGAAAACCGCAAGATCTTAGATACTATGTTGGACATCACTCACACCTACAAAGGAGGCAGGAATGCCCATAGCAGTGTGGTTGGTGACAGCCCACAGCTAAGCCCAGGTGTCTGACAATGGGCACACGGACAAATTGTCGACTATTCCTCAAATGTAGTGTGATCGCACAGTGGAGTACTGCAGAGCAGTGAGTGATCACAGCAGTGAGAAAGATCTCACTGACATGAAGGTGAGCAACAAGAAGCCAAGTGATAGGATTTCCAGTCATGAAATTTGCAACTTGCAAGACTAAACCAGGGATGTTACTTAGGTAGTAAAACTGTAAAGAAAAGCATAAAAGACCATAAAAGTTGGGAGTGTGGTCACTTTGGGAAAAGGACAGCCTGATGGCTAGGAGGGGATGGAAAACATCACACAGTGCCGACCCTGATCAGGGTAGGGGTGCGGTCGGGACTCGGTCACAATGGTGCAGTACCTATACCTGAAGTTTGTTTACTGTTCCTATGTTTGTGTTGTTCTGAATAAGTATTGCATTTCAGAGCTGCCTTTTTTGTTGTTTAGAATTCTAGAAGTTGCTTCCAGAATTCAGTTGCCAGCTTTATTTTCTCTACAAAATAATTGTCATGCTTGCTTTACAGAACAATGAGAACTATATCATCCAGTACGTTTCATTTTTTTTCCATTAGTTGGCAGGAAGTCAGAGTCCAATGTAGTCCCCCAGTCAAAAACCAAAGTCGTCTCAGACTTCTGGTCTACACAATTCTCTGCTCCAGAGCTGGGGATCTAGCTCAGTGGCACCATGCCTGCCTCGAAAGCACAAGGTCCTGAGTTCGATCTCCGGTACTGCAGAAAAAAAAAAAAAACTTGGAATGCACAGTTCTCTGCTCCTTTCCACTAGTGTGCTGTGTATGTTCGTAACTCTCTGATCTAGATGTTTTAATATTTTAATCCCTTTGGAGAAGTAGGTGGGAAAATTTTAAAACTTGAAACAAAACCTGGAATGATGGTTGGGAGTGAAGATGCGGATGGGCAGCACCACTCATCAGTAGGCAGGTCCTGGTTCAGTCCCAGCACCCTCCCACACACACATGCACAAAGCAAATACCTGGAACCACCTCTGCCGTGTGGGCTCAAGCAAATTAATTCTCTGCCTCTGTCCATCAGTAAAATGGGGCAGCAATGGTGACCACCTCACAGTGTTAGCGGGCTGAGCGTGTTGCAGTGAACAGGATGCTTTCTGGCACCTCCTGCATGGAAGCTGTCATGTCCTGAAAGAGTGATACCTGATTACCCTCATGAATGGCTGAGTAATTTAGAATCAAAAACATCTGAGATGAGAACAGATGCTCTTGGACAAATCTGAAAAACAGGTGTGATCAAAACATATGGTGAATGTTTAAATTTTTAAATTTTTATTGCAATTAAAGACATGGTCATGAATCCTCCTCAAAATCGTCCCCTCTTCAAACACATCACATCACTCTTGCCACTTTCTGAAGCAGCTCTGGAGTCCTCTTTTGTGAGTATCTGTAGATGCACTGTCTTGGCCACCTCTGTTTCCTGATTCGATTCAAACTGTTGGTCTTTCAGGGTCATTTTGACTTCAGTGACAAGCCAAAGTTACAGTGCAAGATCTGGTGAGGAATATGGGTTGGGAACACTCCACAGTATTTATAGATATTGCCACAAAGGTTTGCTCTTGGTGTGATCAAAAACTACAGAGGATGAATAAATGTAAAAAACCCACAGCAAATGACACATTACCATTACTTCTCCTTCCTTCAGACACACTTACTGGTCTTGTCAGTGTGTCTTACTATCACACTTTTTAGATCATTAATGGGGTGTTTCAGTCACCCCATGTACATTTCCTTTAACAGTAAGAATTCCTGTAAGTCATTCGCATGTCACTAAACATTAAATAGGTAACATTTTAAATTAATAGTAATAGAAGTCCCTTACCTTCATGTTTACTCTGTAGAAAGAAATGTGTGCAACTGAAAAATGCAGAATTTCTATTTTCTGACTGAATATTTCAGTCTCTGAATCAAACTATCCCTGGCTGGGGTTACAACTCAGGGGCAGAACTCAAGAAGCCCTGGCCCCCACACTGCAACACAAAATGAAATCCAAAGATATAATAACAGACACAGTTAACTTCAGGGGATTGAAACATGCTTTTATCAATACTGCCTAAAGCCCTAACATTGCAGTAAAGAACAAAAGCAGAAAGTGAGGCCTGAGTCATACACAAGTATTTGGAGGGTGTGGAGGGCAGACTTGGCTGCTGAGTGTGCAGGTGCCATGCACTGTGCAAAGGGAGCTGCATGGGCAGCTTGGGAGAGGTGGGTGTGAAGCAGGCACTTGGCCCACATCCCACACCTTTCCCTCCTTCCCACCACAAAGGCCACAGAGCTTCATTCTGTGGATGAGACAACCCAAAGAAAATCTGAACTCAAAACACTGGGACCAAGCAGAAGGCAGAGGTGCTGCAGGATGAAGTTAAAATCCTCAGAACCTGCAGCCTGGCTGCCTTCCCAGCCCTGGGCCAGGAGGAGCTGAGTGCCCAGAGACATGTGTGTGTGTGTACACGCATGCACAGGGGAGCCACCCAGGGCCAAAGCTGACCCGAAGTCACCCCTCTCTC